TTCGGCCGCATAGTGGCGGTGGCGGCACGTCACCTATTCGACCCCTAGTGTTGGTGCTGGGCTAACAGGAGCGCTGGTGGCGGCGCGTCCGCGCGGCTAATGGTGGTCACCAGCTGGTTAGGGGAGGTGGGCTCGACTTCGGTGGTGTTGGTCTGAGGGTGGTAGGGTTTCGTCTTAGGTCCAGTCTTAGGTCCAGTCTCAATAGCTGGTGACGGAGTTTCTAGGTTTGGGCCGGGATTGGATCCTTACTGAGTAGTCATCTTGAGTGTTGCTTGTTTGAGTGCTTTAGGCGAGTTGTGACCGTTGGTGGAGATGGCTTTAATATAGATATTAAGTCTTTTATTCTATTTTGTGTTCTTGTTAGATTGTTTGTGTGTTTTGTTTCTTTTCTCTCCTTATGAGGGTGTGCGTTTTTAGTCTACCTTTGTGGAGTATGCTAGCCTCCCTTGTGGAGTTTTATAATCTCCTAGGTGTGGTGTTTTTGTTGGTTTTGGTTATTTAGACTGTGTTGAATCGTGTAGGAAAACACTTGTTGTGTTTTTCCCTGTTTGGTTCTCTTTCTATTCTAGGCTAGTAAGAGTTATCAAGTATAATCCGTTGATATCTGGTTTGTACCTCCGAAGTGTGATAATGATATTTGATGTTTGAGAAAAAAGAATAATATTTTTTTTTTTTGTTTGTGTGTTTTTGGGAAATGAAATTTTATGCTCTATTTTCATGTTCCGTTTTTGTGTTTCATTTTGATGGGTGAATGACACGTATAAATAATGTTGTCATATTTGTACACGTGTTGATCTTTGAAATATATAATGGAAAGGAAATTGTAAATGTAAACATGAGATTTAGACTTTTAGTGCATGAAAAAAATATATTCATTTCAAAAACAGTTTATTAATGTAAGGGAAGAGTTGCTAGTATTTAAATCAATTTGAATTAAATATATAGATTTATTATATTGATGTCTTTCAAAAAATGATCTAATTAATATTGGCGCTTATTAAAAATTATTTGATCATATCATTGCCTCTCCAATTTATCTTTTTCGTTGATTCTCCTAATTCACTATAAAAAAAAATAAATTATAGCATTAGTTTTGGGAATGCATCTTATTAACAAAAATCAAACATGTCTAATCATAATTGGGATAATAATAATAATAATAATAATAATAATAATAATAATAATAATAATAATAATAATATATACAAGCTTGGCTAGTTGATGTCTGATTCGGACCACAGCGGCTTAATTATTTGGATTATTGGATTGTCAAGTTGCTAATTAAATAAAACTCCCATATGGACTGTCACTATAAAAGTTTTAATAATAAAAAATACTTAGTTCCATGATTAAGAAATAAATGAAATAAATATTTTTTTTGGTTGCTATTATGGGTGAAAAATGGAAAAAATAAATATTTTTTAGTGGTTATGGGTGAAAATTGGGGCGAGACAACTCATCATATTTTTTTGTTCTAATAAAAAATAAATACTCATATTTTTAAATATCAAACATTATTCTATATTATTTTTTCAAGACTTGTAGGTAGTGTATGAAAAAAAAGGCATACAAAATTGTTAGAAAAATATGACCATCTAACGATCAGACTAGCATAAAAATAACATACAAGTTGTATTGTATCACCTCTAGGGGTGAACATGGTGCAGTTCGGTGTGAAACCGCAAAAAACCGAAAAGTGAAATTTTTAATTATTCAAACTGAACTGCACCGAAACATGTAGAAAAACCGAATCGAAACCGCACCGAAATTTTTTTGGTTCGGTGCGGTTCAGTTTCGATTAACCGCAAATTTAAAAATAAAATAAAAAAACACCCAAAATAAAATGAAGTTGCATCATCATCTAATGTGCAACATTACCAAACCAAAAGCCCAAAATTGGAAAAAAACTAAGGCAAGAATTTAGATTTAATGTAATGTTATTAATTTGTAATTGTTATTGTTATTATTTATTACCTTACTTAAAACAATGTTAGTCATCCCAAACCAAAGACCCAAAATGACCATGTATATGTACAATACAAACATGTTAGCATATTTCATATTTGTAAAAATAAATAAATAAATAACTATATTCGGTGCGGTTCGGTTAAAACCGAACCGCATCGAAACTTGTGCGATTTTTCAAAATTTTAACCGCACAGAAAACCTACCGAACCGCACTGAATACATCGATTCTGTTCGGTTTTTCAGTTTCGGCTCGATTTTACTCACCCTAATCACCTCCATTTATCACGAGGCTAGAGATTTTGCATCCCTATGAAAATAAATGTTTTCCTATTGATTTTTATAATTATTATTAAAAAATGAATATCTTTTAACATATGTTATAAATGGTCTAATTTATCCTAGAATAATGGGACAAATTAAGTAAATGTGGTCTAAGGAGTATGACAATGATGTTTGTGCTGTATTATTATACTATATGAAATCTATAGGACAAAAATCAAATTCAAACACACGCTGAGCAGGATTTGATAATTGGATATCTTCTTAGGATAGCAATATTCTAGACTATAGGTTTTGTTTGGATGATTGGATTTGTGAGTAGTGGACAAAAATATTGATCATGTCAATAGAACAAAAAAAAATATTTAATTTGGAGGAACGTGCCGAGGCGAGATCGGCTCGTTAAATAACGAGCTTGAAATTGAGCCCGAACTCGGCTCGTCTATCACTAATAATAATAAATCGAGTTCGAGCTTTAACGAGCCTTAACGAGCTAATCTCGAACTTTAACGAACCGAATAACTATAGAAAATTATATAAAATTCTCTTTGCGAGTCTTATCACGAGCTCAGGTTCAGCTGGTTTATCAAATAAGCCTAGTCGAATTCGAGCCTTAACAAGCGGAGCTCAAGCTGAACCGAACCAGATTTGTTTAATTTAACAGCACTAACTATCACAAATTAACCTTTGTGTTTGATTATAATGGAACTAAGTGCACTAAGACACTAATTTGACAACTTGCATATGCATTATTACATTGAGTCCTCACCGTTGTTAGGTAAGTAGAAATTATAGCAAAAATGATAATATTGTTGAATCTTCATCGTAGTGAAATAAATAAATTAATTAATAATAGATTACTTTTATATTGCCAAAGGAGAACATATCCCATTTGCAAATTGCAAATTTGCCATAGACAAAACATCCCATCAAACACAAATATTTGATCCGGTGTTCCAACATGTATGAGACATGAATTTCATGTGTGTACCAATGATGTGGACACGCGTTATCCACTCAAATCTATCAAACCAAAAGAAGAACATTATGTACTAAAAGATATCAATTCTAGATTTCATTATGTACTAATGTTCTTAGCTCCGATGAACTAAATGGTTGTAACCCAAGTTCAGGTGGGATTTGGAGAGGGCTGCAAACGAATCGAGTGACTCACGAGTCGTTCACGAGTACTTCAGTCAATGCTCACACAAGTTCGAGACGAGTTCGAGCAGCTCAATCGAACAAACGAGTCGAGCTTCGAGCATCGTTTCAAGAGACCCGTTGCTCGACGAGCCGCTCGATTTTTTATTTGTATAAAGTACCTTATATACTTTAATATCGATGTAGAAGAGCAAGACCAAAATTGTCAATTTATATTTAAAATTTCAGATGCTAACTCGAGTCATGTCGAACATCGAGTCGCTCTCGGGCATTCTTATTTTTTCTAACGAGTCGAGTCGAGCAGCATTTTACATTGCTCGTCGAGCTCGAGCTCGAGCTCAAGCAGTGAGAAAAAAAGTTCGACATGCGCTCGACAAGGTACATGCTTGACTCGACACGACTGATCGACTTGCCATAATTAAAAAAAATAATAAAAAATTCCCCCAACATTTGATTTTTTTTTCTCTAGCATGAATTAATTTGATTCTCCAAAACATATATAGGCGAGCATGCGCCTAAGAAAGATTGTATTTTTAGTAAAAAATAAAAAGAAGGGGTTGCACTCATTAGTGAGTGATATCAAGTCATGGATGCAATTATACCACCATATTTTATTTTCAATAAATCTAATGAATGGGACTGAAAAAAAAAAAATTAAAAGAAAAAAAAAAGAAAGGGGGCCCTCCCACTAACAAATTTAAAATTACAAAAACAAAAGTAGGGGTTGAGACAAAATTGAAGGTTTTTTGCAACTATAAAATGGGGGGAGAGTTTTATCAACCAATTGAACATACAAAACAAAACAAATAATAAACATTATTAATGATGGAGAATAATATTAATGGCCATGAATGTCTCAAGAACAATGTTAAGGATGTCTCTTTGGAAGATCTCAAAGAAAGGCTTGCAGAGTTTGCTAGAGTTAGGGGTTGGCAAAAATATCACAGCCCTAGAAATTTGCTTCTTGCTTTGGTAACTCTCTATTTTCCCCCCTTTTTTTTATTGGGTTTTGTTTACTTATTTATCCGTCGATTAATTACCAACGACAGCAACGGCAACAGTTATTTGTGTGAAGTGTTGCTGTTACGCTGCTTTACGTACCTTTTTACAAAAAAACAAAAATGCATATCTATCATTTTCTATGTCGTATATGTTTACACGGTTTTATATGAAGCCAATAGTTGGCTCCATATAGAATATGATATGGTTTACTCGTTGGCTCCATAGTGGAGTCAACCTTCTATATACAACAAGTAAACCATATCATATTCTATATGGAGACAACTGTTGGCTTCACATCAAAATCGTATGTTTATATTGTAGTTTGAAGTATGATATTTAAGTGTGAAAGTATGTACATATGATGAAAATGTATAGATTCAGAACCATTAATTAGGCAACCTATAGAAGAACTACCGATCAGTTCTACGTTGAGTTAGTGTACTTCGAAAGTTTTACATAGTAACTTTCAAGTCGTACGATGATATAAACTAGACAAGTACTATGCGACAAGCTCGAGTTCGAGGTGCGTAGAACAAAGAAAATTTGGGCTTTAAGAGCGACTTTTTACATGGGGAGGGCTAAACCGAACCGGCGATTATAGGACCATAATCGGGTCAAGGGACGATTATGTTTTCCGAGTATGTACGTATAGCATATTAAATTGTGCATAGTTATAAATACATCTAAAAAAATAATAATTACATTTTATTTTTTCAATGATCTAAAAATATGAGGAAAAAAATACAAAAAAAAAATAGACGGTTCAGATTAAAGAACCGGTTCCAAAATGGAGGGAATCTCCCTATTTATTATCCTTTAATTTTTATATCTATGTCATAGGACACATTGCACTTTATTCCTCAAAAAAATATTGTAGTAAAAGCTTCACCATCCAAAAGAACTTTATCAGATGTTAATTAATTATTACCATCCAGTTTACTTTTCAAGATTCACTCACATTTTCTTGTTCGTGACCTTATAATAAGTTCATAAAAATTAAAAATCATCATTTCATTTGTTTTTATCAATTGTACAAAATCCTATGTCACAATGTATCATCACATGTTATAAATTATTTTCCAACCCGAACCGATCCGTTGACCCGTTACGAGAAAGAATGTTAAAAACCAATCAACGATCGATTTAGCCAATCAGACTTGGCAAAAAAACCAACCAGTTTGATCGGTCCAAATATTTTTTTTCTTAAAAAGTTACTTTTTATAAAATACATATTTAGCGGTCACTTTAAACATTTGAATATTTAAATTGTCCAAATATCTAATTAATAATTTATATATGTAAAATTTACTACATAAAATATTATATTTATTTAAAAATATTAATAAGTTGAACACCGATTCAAACCACTAGTTTGACCAGTGAACCATTGAACTAGTTGACCGATTCGATTTTGAGAACCTTGGTTATAAACACTATTTTGCAGGTGGGTGAAGTTGGAGAATTATCTGAGATATTTCAGTGGAAAGGGGAAGTTGCAAAAGGGCTACCAAACTGGAGTGAACATGATAAGGAGCATCTTGAAGAGGAGTTATCTGATGTGCTGCTCTACTTGGTCCAGTTGGCTGATGCATGTGGGCTTGATTTGGGCCGGGCCGCACTTTCCAAAATCGTGAAAAATGCACGCAAGTACCCAGTCATTACTGAGCCCACTAACTAGCTCAATTAAGTTCCCATAAGTGGAAACTTTGTTCTTGCAAGTTATTGGAGCTTTTTCTTCTTCTTGTGTGTGTGTGTGTGTGTGTGTGTGTGTGTGTGTGTGTGTGTGTGTGTGTGTGTGTGTGGGTGGGTGTGGGTGTGGGTGTGGGTGGGTGTTTTGGCTTGAGAGATCCCCTTTTTGGGGAAAGTCCATTATTGTTGTATCTATAGTAGGGTATTGTAGTATTGGTTTTTGTGACTTTTTGGAGTGTTTTTGCAATTTTTTAGTCTCCTTGATTTTGAAACTATGTGATTAATTTATATATGGTTTTGAACGTTTTATGTTGGTCCTATTTTGATCGTCAAAGTTATTATGACGCATAAGATTGTGTAGAGAGTTGTACTAAAGCCTAAGTTTTGGGGATGCTATTGCAATTTTAGTCTCGTTGTTTTGAAACTATGCAATTTTATGCGGTTATGAAAAATTTATGCTGGTCTCATTTCGGTCGTGTTGTTTGAAAGCATAAAATTGTGTAGAAAATTGTAACTTACGTTTTTTTTATATATTATGTACACTTATGATTTAAAACAAGGATCAGTGTTAGTACTTGTGAGGAAAATGCTAGCTGATTCATATTTGATCAGCTTTTTAATATGTAACATACGAATCATGTCCATCGTACACAATCACAAAACAGAAAATAACAAAACTTTTCCTTCTTATCTAAGTATAAATATTTCTAAAATTTTGGCTCATTCAGTTCATTTGTTTTTTGTATGATTCTAGTCTACTACTGTTGCTACTACTAAAAATCATAAGTACAAAGAATGCATGTTCATACCTTAAAATTGTCTCCGAACCAAACATAGGTCACTATCTAAGTTAAATAGTTTATATTTGTATCGTTTATTTTTGTTGATGATAAAATTCATAAAATGTGATATGTTCATTTTTTAACTTATGATATTGAATATTTACATATATACATTTTATTTGTTTCTGCACATATCGAATACTAATAGTGATAAACTTTAACATGATATTAATACACAATAATTAACGAGTTTTTTTTTTTTTTTTTGTCGGTTTTATTCAACTTGGCCTTGACGGGTCGACTCATATATTGATTCTGTTTGGGTCAACTTAATTTGACTTGGCTATTAAATATTTTATTTAGAAAATAGATTATATGTAATGTAAAAATTGATGATAATACATTATTATTGAAAATTTGACATATTTATATGATAAAAACATTAAAATTTAAAATTAATTACTTGATTCAGTAAATGACCCGATGATCGAGAGGCTAGTCCAACCAATTTATCAAAGTTGGATTTTGAAAATATTAGTAACAATATAAAAAGTAAATAAATAAACAAATATAATATCAATATTACAAATTCGTTAAATTAAAATAATAAAATATACATAAATAAATATAGAATTACTCTGTATATGCAGCCAATAGAAACACTCCCCACGGAGAACGAGAGATGGCTTCCCAACCCAACGACCCTCGGCTCCCATCGGCGGCGCGGCCGTACAAGCCGCAGGTCGTCGCTCCGCAGGACGCCCCCATCGATTACTCCGGCTTCGTCGCCGTTATTTGTGGCGTCTTTGGTGCGATGTTCCGGGTGCGTAATCGGTTTCACCTCCATCTCCGATCTGTTTTTTTTTTTTTTTTT